GGGCACTTTTAGAAGTGCTGTGATGCTGCTAAGCCAGTGAAGAGGCCCATAATTTGCCTGCTTGATTTAAATCTGAATAACTGTTTGCCAGTGATTTGGGTGCTGTAATTCTTGACAGTAACAGGAGATGACAACACAGTATGGAGCACTGATTGACAATATTAGAGACAGGGCTGACAGCACTGCCTATTAAGGTTTCCTGACACCCCTTACAAGACCCTGTTTTAAGTTGTTTACAACTTTGCCAAATTTTAACTTTTGGGGATAATTTTTTTTTCATGTAGAGTGTCTGCCTCACGCTGATCATTTTGGAACAATTTCAGCTAAAAAGGTTTAGTTGTTTCTCAGAACGATGCTGGGAGGAAATACATTGTTTTGCAAGGCTAGAAAATTCTTCTCTTTGGGAGACTGTTTTAATCCATGTGTTAGAGCAGGGGCTTGAAATTTGGCAAGGGGATGGCCTTTGTGTCAGGGATATGCCTCTTGCTTTTCCTGGGAAATTAAGCCCACACTTGGCCAATTTATAACCTCTTTGAAAAATCTTTTTGCACATGCTCAGTAGAGACATTTTACAGTTTAGTAATTAATATCTTCAAAGATTCCACTGAGCATGCACTATCTCCTCACAGTTCCTATGTATTACAAGAGGAAGGTCTGGTGAGACTGGGACTGGTGTGGGGCGAGAGAGAAACTGTGATGGGGAGTTGGTGGGGAGAAGTAGGAACCAGGAAGGGAGACCGGGCCTGGTTGGACAGGGGACTGAGTGCTAGGGGGAGACTGGAACTGCCCGGGCATGGAGACTGGGACTGGGGAGAGAGTGGAACTCAGATGGGGAGCTTGGAGGAGGAAACTTAGGCCTGGCTGTGCAAGGAGATTGGGATGAAAAGCCTAAAGAGTGGAGATTGGGCCTGGTTAGATAAGGAGAATGGGACTGGGGCTAGGAGTCAGGGGTGGGGAAGAGGCAGGACAGGGACAGGTTGGAGTGGATGAAGCAGAAGGGATCAAACTTGGAAGGAACAGGCAGAGGACATGGAGAACACTCTATGCCACAGCCTGCAACTGAACTCAAGACTTCTGAGTCTCACCCTTCCTCAGTTGTCAGCAAATATCTGTGACACTCACTGCCAAATGATGTGTCCCATCTACCTCTAGTGCTGGTCCGCATAGAGGATAAGAACCTACTATTGCTATCAGTAACTATTTGAGCTCAAGTGACAGAGGTCGGTATGGTAGATCTAATGGTTCCAACCCTGCTGATGAACGTAGGTGGTCAATTTGATGCCACGTTATATTTATTTTTTTCTGGCTTTTTAAAAAAACCATAGGAAATTACCCTCAAAAATTACATTAAAAAGTCAATCACTAAAAAAATTAGGAAATGCCAGACTTAAGGTTGCCTGTGAAATCTGAATATTTACCTATACAGGATTGAGTGCACATGATTATCAGGTTCAGAACCATGGGCTAGATTCTGATCTCAGGTATGCCCTGTATAGTCCACTGAAATTAATAAAGTTACTCCAGATTTCTGTCAATGTAAGTGTGACAAGTATCTGTCCCCATGTTTTTTAAGGAGGCAAATTACCATAACTGTGTTTCTCATAGAACACATTAGGTTATTGAAACTGAATAAGTGCCATTGACTGTAATTGCCTGCTCTTCATGCAACCCATACAAATTTAACCCTTACGCTTCAGAAAAACAACCACTCTAGTGTAGTAATAGACTAGAACTGGTTGGTTTCATGTAGTACCACATGCTAAGAGAATTACCATGACATTGTCTGCCATTGTTGATGGATAGAGCTGGGCAGAAACTGGATTTTTAATTTATCAGGGAATACCACAATGTCACATTTTTTTCTGTTATGAAACTGAACAAATGTAAAAAATTAAGTTTCCTGCCAAATGAAATTCTGGGGAAAAAATAATTTGGGGTCCATTTAAACATTTTGTTTTGATAATAGTGAACCATTTCATTCTGATTTTGATTTAAATATATATATATATATATATATATATTCTAGTATGTAATATAAAATAAGATTGAAATGAAAAGTCATTTTGAAAAAGAAAATCTAAATGTTCCATTCTGACCTTATCAAAACACTTTTTTTAAAAAAAGTTTTCCTTTGAAACAAAATTTTCATTGAAATTGACACATTTCTGCAAAACATTTTGCTTTTGATAAATCAGAATTTTCCATTGGAAAAAACGTTCCATCAGAAACTTTCCAACCAGCTCTATGGCACTGACAATACTACTAGGCTTTTGTGAGCTGCTCTCTTTCACTTTGGTATCTCTGGCATGTGTGACAGGGCACACTCTGGATTGCCACATGCTATGAAAGGGAAATCAAGTCCCAGCTTGGAATAGAAGCAGTGACAGATTAAGGGTAAAGCACTAGAGCTCGCCTTTCTGCGCCTCATATTGTCAAAGGGTCTCAGTATGAAGCTTTTCCATTGTGACACAAATACTGATCTGAGCCTATTATAGGCTTAATACAGCCCTTTGATAGAGTTCATTATGCTCCACCAAGTTTTATATGACAATAGCCAAGATTTTCAGAAGTGACTAGGCATTTGGGGGCGTTTTGTTTTGTTTTGTTTTTTTGTGGGAGGGGGACACTTCCATTTTTGGGTGTCCAGCTTGAGCCATTGATTTTCAGAGGGCAGGTCCTTAACACTTTCTGAAAAGTGTCCCCTTTTAGGTGTCTCAAGCTTGGGTGCCAAAAAATTGAGGAAAATCTTGTGAGTTCTTCAGAGGGCACTTCAGAAAATCTTGGCCTCTAAGGCTATGTCTATACTTACGATGATGTGTGGAGTACAGACCCTGCATGGGTATAAATAGCAGCATAGACCGAGGCATTGCTCAGCCAAGTAGTGTACAGACACACAAGAACCTTAGGGTATATACCCTACATGCCCAAGCAGTGCCTCCCACATCTGCAGTGCTATTTTTAGCAGTGTAACACCTTGCTGCCTCACCCCTATCAGCTCCTTTCACTGCTGCCTGAAGCTACGCAGTCCAGTGTGTAGCTACACATCTCCTACATGCTGCTGCCAGCGTAGACAAGGTCTAAAGCTTATAACAATGGGATGTCTACAAATCAGACACGGTTATTTTGGGATGCTGAGGTGGCAAATGAAAGTATGCATGACTAGTACGGAAAAACACATTTGTGCTCTTGGAACAACTGCTGAAGAAAATTTTGTTTAAGCAAACATTTTATTCTTTGTATCACTGCCGGTCATGTCAGTTTTGATTATTGGTTACATGTCTGCATGGCAAGTGAGTTAGACTAAGTCAGAAACTAAATACAGTCCCAGCCATATAGTGACTACACATTGTGGGCTGTGGAGGTGGTGCTGAGACCTGGTCATAGAGGCCTTTTATGTTTGTTTTGGACCAGGAGTAATTTCAGAGATGAATAATCGGCATGAAATTTGAGGTCACATTTTCCCCCTTTGACTAAAACAATGGGAGGGCTGGGTTTTCAAGCTAGTCTCAAAACTAAATCACAGCACTATGAGGGTTATTGACTCTTCTTGCCTGGGTTCTACCTGCTACAGAGACACAATAAACTCCAATGTTCTTACTCCCTGTGGTCTCAAATCTGCAAGTCCACTCAATCTATTCTCCATGAGGCATGTCAGGTGCCTCATTCCCCACATGGTGTCACCCATCTTTGCTCCTACCGTACCGTCTGTTTGGCCAATCCTGTGCTGTTTGAGAAACCTCTGACTAGCTGTAGCAGCTGCCCTGCTGTTTACAAAATTCTTCTTAAGCGATCAGTGGAGCAGATATTAATTTGAAAGTGAGGTGATTAGGTTGTATGTGAAGATTGGCCTGGTGGTTTGATGGGATGCTTACTTAGTAAATTCCCTCTCAGGCAGCTACTGGTGCTCATCAGATGCTGGGTCGTGCAAAACTAGCGATAACAACATAATATAGTAACCAGCAGTCGGGGAAACAGAAGGAATAACAGCACATTGGGTGCACTACTCACCTTTAGAATTGTGCTTTAATTCATTGATCCCAGAACTGCCAGTGTCAAACCTTTCTAGCACAGAGGCTAGATACAAGGAAGAGCCAGGGACTGCTATGTTTACATTTTTGGAGGGGTATTTGTGGGCCTACCAAATTTCCCAGGGTGAACCATCATCTCATTGTTTTGTGGCTGAGCGGAATGCTGTCCACTTCACATTTGCCTTTGTATTCACCCCCAGGGTATTTTAACAGTGGACAAAGTGTGCTTTGCTGATAGTCTAGGAAGGGCTCTGTGAACGTTTCAGGTGAAAGGTGCTATTTAGAAGACATGAAATCAATCGGAATGTGATTTATCCAGTTTTTGTTTCCCAAAGCATGCTTTGGGTTGTATTCAGATATGACTAATGATAAAGCACGTCACTAGGACCATAGCGTGCAAAAGTCCATTGCAAAACTCCTGTTGACTTGCCTGGAAGTGACACATTTGTAGCAGTGGCAAGATGCAGTTCCCAGAGTAGTTATGTTCTAGTTTTGTGGATGTTGCAAGGGATGAGTAACCTGTACAATCTTCTAATTAATTTACACAAAAGGTGAATTCATTTAGGAGAGGGGCCTGAGACCAAGAGTACAAGATTCGGGCTCTGTGTCTGCACTGCGTCTCTTCTCCAAGAGATGCGTTTCAGAGCTCGCAATTAGACAGATGTTCTAAATTCCGATGGTCAAAAACCCACAGCCATCTGCCATTATTTTAGCTTTTCAGGTGCTTAACTTGAGTGAGTGTGATATTGCTAGTCCAATCCAGGGGTGCTGTTGGGAATCCTGGAATGGAAGGAAATACGGTTCTATCACAAAAGGTGTAATATGTAATGCTTGTATGAATTGAAAGGTTATGAAAGACAGCACCAATGAGGTCACTTAAAAAAACTTTCCATTGTTTAGTGGGATTTTTGATTTAAACAGCCAGTCTGATTTGAATAAATGTGTCTTTAAATACGATCTTTATATTTGCAGGGGTTAAACATCTGAAAAGTCAGAATGACTCAGCATTCCCAGAGGAGGAAGAGGGTGTCAATGAAAGAGAAGAAGAATGGGACCATTAATTAGCATTGGGCTTGTGTAAGAAAGGTTATTGTGAATAACTGAACTGCTAAACTTTCCATACTTAACGTGGAATTCCATTGCTTGTGTTTCTGAAACATTCTTCATCGCACCACTCCAGGCACACATAGCAGGATGCTTTCCGGGGAGCATTCCTTGACTGGATTTTACAGCACTCTGCAAACTTGTCCTGTGATACTTGTAACTGAAGATAAACATTTATTTTACAGTCATTTTTCTTTCCTTTTTTATGACTTAAAAATGTAATTGGCAAACATGTTAGTAATCTAATTTCAGTACTGCCAGAGCTTAATTACTGAATGTGATCTGTACTCCAAGACTTATTGTAAATAGTACCAATTTAAAAGTTACAAATAAATACTAAATTCATTTAGACATGATTTTATGTCGTGCTGTGCTTCTGTCTAACTTGAAGAGAAATTTTTAGGTAAGGTGAGTCTTTAGACCAGGAGCATCTTTTCGCATATTAGGGTTACACTTAGTAACATACTTCAAACCCAAGCTAAAGCAGAGATGCCTGCTTAATTCTGCACTGCATTAGTTCTTTGTAGTTTTCAGTGTATGTACTGCATATAACAGTTCACCACTTCTTGCTTTCCATAAAGGTATGTATCTGATACTGCGCAGTCATTCAGTGATACATTAACTGATTTTTCCTTTTTACTACTGAAGACAATCATATGAGAACATTAGGAAAATCTTTGATTTGGTGGAGACTGGCTGCCTCAAAATATTGGCGATAGGCTGCAGAACCTTTCCACTCTAAGAGAGCTGGTTCAATTTTGGCGTGGTTCAATAGTGCTGTTACCATTTGACAGCTCATGTCAAGTTCTGTGAGTGCTGAACATCAGGAAAGCTTATGAAGGAGCAGAAAATGAGATGGGGTGGACAAATCATACTTCTTTAAAGTTGTATTTAACATATTGTTCCCTATTTTTAATGGTCCATCTTTAAACCAAGGACAACCTTTCACAACCTGTAGAACTGTGGTAGCTAAGGTTGTCCTTGGTATAAAGACTCATTTTGAATTTAGCCTTTCATCCCCTTGAGTCCCACTTGATAAGCCAAGCTACTGAAAGTAGATGGACAGGAAAACACAGACTCTTTTGTCAATGCCTTGAGTGCTCATTTGGCTCACATGTAAGCAGACGCTGTGCTGAGAAGACCTAGCATTCATAGGGTCTGTAACAAGTGTTTCTTTGTTTGGCAGCCATATCTTTCTCTGTATATGAGTATATCTGTATATGAGTTCTTTATTGCAGCTCCAGTCACAGACATTCCAAGTGATATTTATGGCTATAATTGAATGAAGAGCTGACTAATAGAAGAAATCTTCAGTTGTGCTGTAGACACAGTGCTAAACTGAGGTTTCTTTATAATACAACCAAAGAGGAAGCTTCCCTTCATAAAATATTTGAATGAAAAAAAGTTGAGGCATTGGCCTGGAACCAAGAAGAGGTGGGTTCATTTCTCAGCACTGCCACAGATTTTGGGTGTGACCAACTTATTTACTTTGGGCAACTCACTTAATCATTCTGTGCCCCAGTTTGCCATCTGTGACATGGCGCTAATTTCTTTCTTCCACCACTTATTTGTCTTGCTGCTTTAGATTTTAAGCTTTTCAGGATATGGATTGGCTTTTAGTGCCTATGTACAGCATGTAGAACAGGGGTGCTGGAACAATTTTTATAAACCCATTGAACCAAACAGTAAGCCCTGTATATGAGGGAAATCGCTTCAAGCCAGGAGATGCTGCCGCACCCCCATCATCCCTATTTCCAGCACCTATGTGTAGCACATTAGGCAGCTAACAGTTTATATCAATTAACTAGGAAACGCAGAATCATGCTTCAGTAACGCCATTACATACATAAGACTTAAGATAATAATTACACTTGTGTATATATACAGCTTATTAGAGTGCATCAGAACTAGTATAGGTGCGTATTGTCACTAGAGCTGACCACAGAAAGACACTGCTGTTTTGTGGCAACTCTCAACATTTCAAAACCTTTAGAACAGTGGTCCACAAAATTTCAGGGTCGTGCCTTCCTCCTTACCCATGTCTGTGCCTCTTCCCCGCTGCCCTGGGAGCCAGGGCCAGGAGCAGGGCTGTGGCTCCAAGGAGGAGGGGGGAGAAGGTGGGTCAAGGCCATGCCTGCAGCTGGGGGCAGGTCTGAGGCTGGGAATGGAGCTGCGGCCAGGGGCTGAGCCTGGGGGTGGGGCTGGGGCCGGTAGTGAAGCCCTGGCTGGGGCAAAGGCAGGGACAGGGATGGGGATGCAGCTGGGGGGCAGAGTGGGGCTTGTGGCGCTCCCTCCCTGACCTCTATTGGGGCTGGCCTGGACTTGCCATCCCCCCACCCCCAATGTCCCTCCACGCCTCCCCTAGGGGGCTGTGCCCTCACAGTTTGGGGACCACTCCTTTAGAATGTTTTCACAAAACTGGAAATGTTCATTTTTGGATCAAAATCTAAGGGGAGTGGAGGCAGGGGAGTGTGTAGTGGTCCCAGGTTCAAGTCTCTACTTCCCTTCCTGATTCAGAGCAGAGCTTTTCATCCCAGATCACTCCAAATCTGCCAGAGCTTGAACCTGTGTCTCTCACATCCTAGGCCAGTACAGTGAATACCAGGCACTAGAGCATAAGTCTCTGGCTCTCTTCCCCTTGCCCCACAACAAACTTTGTGATAACACAGCATGTTTTGAGAAAACACGTGTTCTAACAGTGCTAACTGTTGCCCAACTTTCTCTCTCAAGCATTGCCCTTGTCCTCTCCCCAAGTGTAATTACACCCTCTCCTTACCAAGTCCTATCTCTCACCAACTAGAATTGCTTCCTATTCCTATTGTCATCTTAGTTTGCAAGGCCCACATGGTAGCCTAGACGGCATAGTCTTTGTGATGAGATTTTTCTGATTGGTAGGTACTGCAGCATATTCTGGGTCCTACCAAAATTAAAAAAAAAAATAATCCCAACTGCCCTGCCTCAGTTTCTTTTCTGTGCTGTAACTAGTTAGATGGGGCTAAAATACTGATACACTCCAGAAAGCTTTCTGGGATATGTTGGCACTGCTGCCAATAGGTAGCAGCTAGAAAGAAGCCCTGGAGTTTTGCTGACTGGTGAAGCTGCAGGCAGGGAGACACTAGCAAATAAACACAACTAAACAGCAAGAAAGGGTGATGCGCAGTGTTTGTGCATTTCAGTAGGGCAAGCACAGGTTTGGTTGCTCCCCCCATCTCCCCCGGCCTCTGCCAATGGTGTCTGTATAGTTTTTCCCTTTGAGTGGGACAGATTTGTTTCAGGGCCCTCACAAAACTGGAATGACAACATATTTTCCTACTTATTAGTTATGCAACCTTTACTGTATTTGCAGTGTGCTGTAAGCACTAGGATCAAAGCGGTAAGACACATAGACGTGCGCACTGAAATGTGACTACCCCTTTCAAATCCATGAATCATTTGCAGAGGCAGGGGAGCAATTGTTCTCCAACGCTTGATTTGGGAACGGGGACGGCTTGAAAAACCAAGCTACTCTGTGACATAAGCCAGATTTTAAAGGGCCAGAAACAATGGTTCCTCCTGAGTTATCAAAGGCGCTATCAAATTTCCCAATCCCAAGAGATGCCCGCAGGAGGAATTTAGTGGGAGAAAGGCTTCTCTGCCTCTCCACTACATCTCAGAAAGAAGCAGGAAGCAGAAGTGGACCTTCTGGCTGCTCTCCTGAGAGCCCAGATAAGGGATTACCAGTCACTCTCAGAAGACATCAGACCTGGGCGGCAAGTTGCAGGTCCTCCCACAGAAAGAGCATGTTAGATAAGGGGAAGGGCTAAAGAGATGGGAATTTGTATGAGGAGAGAGGCCTAGAGGGTAAATTGTGAGGAGCAAGACAGAAGTGATTTGGGAGAAGCTCCACAGTAGGATATGATCTTCAGTTACCACGCTATTTGGATACATCGCTGAATGAAACCCTTATTGGTTCCCCCCCCCCCCCCCCCCCCCCCC